GATTTCTTTAACTCTTTCAGAAAGATATCTAGAAGGGGAACAGCTGGATCAAATGAAATTCTAGTTTTAGCTTTTTGAGGAATTCCATACTTATTTCCACAGTGGTTGTATTAGTTTACATTCCCACCAACAGTATAGGAGGGCTCCTTTCCCCCTACAGCTTCACCAGCATTTGTTATCATTTGGCTTCCTGACGATGGTCATTCTTTCTGGGGTAAGATGGAATCTCAGTGCAGTTTTAATTTGAAGTTCTCTAACAACCAGAGATGTTGAACATTTCTTCATGTACTTATTAGCTATCTGTATGTTTTCTCCTGAGAGGTGTCTATTTATTTCAACTGAATACTTTTTGATTGGGTCTTTTATTTAGGGTGTCTAATTTTTTTGAGTTCTTTATATATTGTAGGTATTAGTCCTCTGTTTGAGATATAGTTGAAAAAAATATTTTCCCATTCTGTAGGTTGTCTCTTCACTCTGATGGTGGTTTCTGCTGCTGTACAGGAGCTTTTCAGTTTGATACGACCCCATTTGTTGATTCTTGGTACCATTGGGGTTTTGTTCAGAAAGTCCTTGCCTATGCCTATGTCTTCAAGAGTTTTACCTATTTTACTTTCCAGCAGATTGGTTCTGTTTTAATATTTAGGTCTTTGATCCATTTTGATTTGAGTTTGGTACATGGTGAAAGAGATGGGTCTAGATTCATCTTTTGTATATGGATAACCAGTTTCCCCAGTACCATTTGTTGAAGTTCTTTTTTCTCTATCAGATGGTTTTCTCCCCTTATCAACAATCAGATGTCTGAGTGTGCCTAGGGTTGCTTCTGCATCCTCTATTCTATTCCACTGACCCACATATCTGTTTTTGTGCCTGTACCATGCTGCTCTTATCACATAGCTTTGTAACATAGCTTGAGATCTGGGATTGTGATGTCCTCCTACTTTACTCTTCTTCCCAAGGTCTGTTTTTGCTGTTCTGGGTCTCTTCTCATTCCATATGAATTTTAGAATTATTTTTTCTAGTTCTTTGTGGAATGCTGCTGATATTTAGACTGGATTTACATTAAATGCATAAATTAGTATTAATGTGTGGCCATTTTGACAATATTAGCTCAGCCTATCCAGGAACAAAGGATGCCTTTCCATTTTCTGGTATCCTATTTGATCTCCTTTTTCATAGTACTGTAGTTTTCATTATAGAAGTCTTTCACTTCTTGGTGAGACTAATACTTAGGTATGTAATATTTTTAAGCTGTTGTGAGGTATTGCTGTTTTGATTTATTTCTCAGTATGTTCACTGTTGGTGTACAGGAATGCTACTGAATTATTTGTATTGATTTTTGTATACTGCTACTTTGCTCAATTTGTTTTTTACTTCTAGGGGCTTTTTGGTGGGATTTTTTGGGTCTTCTAATGTACAGGATCACATCATCTGTGAATAAGGATAGTTCAGCTTCTTCCTTTTCTATACACAACAGAGATGCTATTTATTAAGTTGAGAGATTTTGATTACAGAAATAACAATGTTTTAATAATGTCGGGATAGCAAACAACAGGAACAAAGTTTTAAGCAGAGAACTCATTTTGTAAAAGTAAGCATGAGTTTAAGAACAAGTGAAGTTCTAGTATAATCATCTCTCAATATCTGAAGAAGGCTGGTTCCGGGAATCTCCACACACACCACAGATCTGTCAGTGTTCAAGGTCATTATATAAAATGGTGCAGTATTTGCATATAACCTATGCATAGCCTCTCATTTATTTAAATCATCTCTGGATTACTTATAATACCTAATATAATGTAAATGCTATATAAATAATCATAATGCTGACTTGCTGAGGAAACAGTGACAAGAAAAAAATCTATACAGGTTCATTACAGATGCAATTTTTTTCAAATATTTCCCATTTGTAGTTGGTTGCATATGCAAATGAGGAACTCTCAGATGTAGAGGGCCAAGTGTATTCAGAAAGTCACTATGCAGGCTGGATAAGGGAGCACACCCCTTTAATCCCAGGACTTGGGAGACTGAGGCAGGAGGATCATTTCGTGTTCAAGGCCAGCCTGGACTACATATGAGACCTTATCTCAAAAAAAGAAGCAAACAAACAAACAAACAAACAAATTCATTTTTTTAATTTAGTAGGAAAACTAATATTCAGCTAATATTCAGTTTAGTGAGATACCATGAATAAGAACTGTACAGCTTTGCACATGAATTCTGCATGGAAAAATCTAGTCTTCTATACTGTACAAAGTGGTAACTGTGGTTTGGAAAACAGCTTAAGGTATTTTTTATCTTTTCTCACTAAATAGTTTTTTAAAGAAGTAAGGCAGATAAGCAATTCAAGCTGTTTTATAGTATGATATTACTTTATATTTGGGGGAAGTTATTTAAAAAGTAGCGAGCAGAGAAGATTATTTATCAGTGCTTTACCTTGTGAGGCACGAGGACACCATCATGTTTGTCATGATCATCTCTGGATTGTAACGAATGGCCCTTATGTGGGGGACAAACTGCATTCTCTCTTGTCTCCCCCTTTACATATCTGACATCATACAAAAAAGAAATATCCCTAAAAAGAAGAAACAAATATATAATTCAAAAATAAATTTTCATTCTGGCTACTAAATCAGAGTGAGTGAGATCCACACCTAGCTTACTAGTGAGTAAAGTGGTCCTTTAGGTCAGCAAAACCAATCTCCTGCTGGGCATGGTGGCACACACCTGTAATATCAGCACTCAGAAGGCTGAGGCAGGAGGATTGTTGTGAGTTCAAGACCAGCCTGGGCTACAAAGTGAGCTCACGGCCAGCTTGAACTGCATATTGAGACCCTGTCTCAAAAAGGCCAGAAAAAAAAAAAATCTCCTTACTTCATACTTTACTAAGAAGACCAGAGCCTTAGACATGAGTTTCTCTAACATTCTTCCCTACCTGAAACCTCAGTCACATCACAAACTCTTTCCTTCAGTCTTAGGCTAATGCAAATTCTCATTTCCATGGTTATTCCTTCCACTTGTCCGTTTGATTCCATCTCTGCCTATATCATTGAGTACTCTAGTCTATCAGTCATAACTTCTGTGTCTTTCCCACGCTATTCAAACATTCTTCTTGGTGTATAACCAGTCTTTTTCCCCTCTAAAAATCTTTGCTTTACCATACACTGCTATCACTTTATCATGATTGGTCTGTCTATCTATCATTGGTCATCTCTCAATTTGTTCATCAGACTTCCCTACAATCTGATTTCCACCCACACCTCTTATCCTGAAGCCATTCTCCAGAAATGGCTTCATGATTTGCCACTGGAAAGTCAAATCATCTCTTATTAGTTGGGGCTGGGGATTTAGCTCAGTGGCACAGAGCCCACCTGGCAAGTGCAAGGTTGTGAGTTTGATTCCTGGTACCGGAAAAAAAAAACAAAAAACAAAAAAAGAAACATCTCTTATTAGTATCTTCCACTAAATTTCTCTGGTATATTTTCTAAGATTGATTACCTCTCTCTTTATTTTTTTTTTGATTTTTTAAAATTTATTTTAAAAATTAAAAGAAGGAAAACATACTAATAAACAGACATCAATTTACAAAATAGCATAAGAACAATACAAGCAATACAGAGTTACAGACAAAGTGGTAGGAAATTAACAGTGGTTGTTGTATTACGTATTGATATCTTCATAGTGGTTTCTCAGGGAAAACAGAGACATGCAAGATTGATCAAATAATTAATCATTAACTGTTCCTTTCAGTAAAAAAATAGAAATCAGCAGTACAACTATGTTAGCTATCCTGTATATACGTAGATACATAATTTTCCCTTCTTTCTTTTCTCTTTTCCCTCACCCCAGTTGCTCTTTACTTTTGAGCATTTTCCTTTCGTTTCACAATGTCTGTCATACCTCCTAATTTTTATTCACTCTTTCAGGTTCTTACACTAGTGAGACAATACGTTGCTTACACATGGAGGACTGGTTTACTTCACTTACGAGTATGGTCTCTAGTTGTGACCATTTACCTGTAAAAGCCTCGAGTTTGTCTTTCTTTACAGCTGAGTAATGTTCCATTATATAAAAGTATCACAATTTTTTTATCCATTCCTCAGTGGAGGACATTTGGGTTGCTTCTGCAATTTAGCAATTACAAATTGCACTGCTGTAAACATGGGTGCACGTATATCGCTGTGATGTGATGTTTTCAGATCTTCTGGGGAAATACCCAGAAGGGGAATAGCTGGGTTGAATTACCTCTGTCTTTAAAAACACTCTTTTCCTCTATTCTCTGTGTTACCAGACACTCCTGGTATTTTGTCCTAAATGCTCCCTCTTAGACTTCACTGTGCCCTCCTGCTACTAAATGGAAATGCTCCACATTTGTGTCCTCATACCTCTACCCTTTTCCCTGTACATTTTCTCCCTGGGCAGTGTCATCAAATCTCACCTTATCCCAGCTGCTACTTCCAGGGACAACTGAGTTCTTCCATTCTATCTTTTCATCCTCTTGTATTCACTACTTCTGTCAGTTAGCACCATCCTCACCTCATCTACATCTCGCTAGAATCCCTTATTGAGCCTTTCCCATCTTTTTTAACCTTTTAAAAACTTTTTTATTGGCACATATTGTCATACATATTGATAATATTCATCATTGGGAATTTGTACCTGTATGTAATATATTCTGATTCTTCATTTTTTTCTCATCCCCTCCCTTCAACCCTTCCTCCTCTCCCCATTAACAAAAGTTTCATTTCCATTTTTTTCTTCTATTCTCTTTTTTCCCTTTTTCCTTTTCTTCCCTCCTCCACCACCCCTCTTCCTTTGTTGCCCTTCCTATTTGAACATGTTCTCCCTACTTCCCTATATTTATCCATTATTGGGTCTCTCACACCAGGGAAACAATGTGATATTTAAACTTATGTGTCTGATTTATTTCATGTAAGATTATGGTCTCAAGGTGCATCTCTTTTCTTGCAAATGACTCAGATTTATCCTTTTTTGTGATAGCGTAGTACTCCATTGTATATGAATCCCATATTTTCTTTATCCATGTATCTATTGATGGGTATTTGAGCTGTTTCCAAGAGTTAGCTATTATAACTGTGTGGCTAACAACACGGGTATGCATATATCACCGTGGTATGATGTTTTTAACTTTTTCAGAAAGATACCTAGGAAGGGAACAGCTGGGTCAAATGGGTCTTCTAGTTTTAGTTTTTTAAGGAATATCTCCATACTGCTTTCCATAGTGTTTGTACCAGGTAACACTCCCACCAGCAAAGGAGAAGTGTTCCTTTTCCCCCAACAGCCTCACTAGCATTTGTTATTGGTTGATTTCCTGATGACAGCCATTCTTTCTGGAGTGAAATGGAATCTCAAGTGTTGTTTTAATTTGCATCTCTTGA